GCCTTTAGAATGAAAAAGCATAATGGAAGCTGTAGTTTTAAAACATCTGGGGATCTACCTTTTGGGCACCCATGCCCTAATGCATGCAAACTTGTTCTCACCTGTGCCAATTTAGATGCCCACTTTTGGATCTTTTTGAAAGTCTGTTTGTTACAGAACAGCTTTTATTAAATTTTAAAATATGTATTGTTTAGTTTGTTTATTGAATGCATTGACGTCCTTTTATATATAAGGATATTTAAATCTTTTATATATAAGAACATTTTTTAAATCCCTTGAGTGCACATCCTAATAAACACGAAATGTCTCCTCTTTTAACATCTCAAAATCTTTATAAACTCAACGCTGCTGTTTTGTATATATTACTATTTGTATATTAACTTGTCTACAGCATAGCCTGATAGTGAGATAAAAGTGGATTTCATTTTTATAAATTTATGAAAAAAGTGCTTGAAAAACAGAAAGAGAAATCCCTCTGCAGAAGACCAGGTGAATTACCATCATTGGCTTTTCTAATGGTAAAATGCCAGGCCAGATGATTTGGCTGAATGGTACAATTTAAAAATATTAGCTTAGTGTTCTAAATTGTGAAGGAACCTGACAGGTTAAGTTTGGATTTGTCATGCACCTGTCCAGTTGCCAAATGCCAGATGAGTACCTAGAGGGGTTTAGAAGAAGGACATTCTTTCTCCTTATAGGTCTGTGAGTGAGAGATACAATGTTGAGCTTACTGAATTATAAATTAAGCAATGAGTGGTTGCTACTTGTTATGGTAATTGAAGTGTACCTTTAAGTCATGTGTATTTTATTTTATTATTATTATGTCAGTAAATAGCATGAACATTTATCAACCATCAAGCATCCCACCTCAACAAGGCTTGTCTGAGTTTTTTTTCAACCAATGACCTTTGAAAAGTAGGACTTTTTCTGAGAAAGACTGCTCTCTCCTCTGAGACTTCAACAACCTTCAAAGTGTATGACGTGAATAAAGAATTGATCTATATTAAAAACTGACATGTGATAGATATACTTCAAACCTTAGAACTGACATTAAGTGCTGTGAATCCCCTTCGGGGAATAAAATCCCTATATAAGCAGTTTATTAATATCATTAATTTCCATTGAATTGTTTATAAGGCCATCTTTGGAACGATGCTCTGTTCTCTGTATAGAGAATGCAGCTCACACAGGATAATGTGCCAAATAATTTGAGTTCGTAATATATACCGTCATATCTTGCAGCTCGTTGGAAGCATCATGCGATGGGATGCACAGAGCATGCAATATTAATCCTATATCGCTGTATCTGTCTTGAGTGGATCAATCTCTCAACTCATAAAACAGACCATCAGGGACTTAGAACCTCAGCTCCGAATGCCCTTGCTTCCAAGATGGTTCGTTGCTGAATATTATTTAGAATTAAGGCTGAATAAGGGTGAAAGAAGTGTAGCATATACAAGTTGCATTCCCTCTCAGAGACCAAAACTTTCTTCACTTTTTCATACTTATAGTCTATAGTCTGAGACAGAAGCAAATTAGTTAGTAGTTAATAGTTAACCAATGTTTCTCTTTATGATGGCTATGTGGGGAACGAGAAGCAGCTTAAGTCACAGGGTATATTCAACAGCGGGCGCATTTCGGCGTCTCGGTCTGGATACAATTCGCCCATTGAATTTTGTTCAGGAAAAAATATCTGGATGGCGCAAAAATGCACCTATTGATGCACAGCAATGCACAAATGGCTACAAAATTGCCTAGCCTAATGGTGAGGAAATATCACACATTTTGTTGCAGTGCAAATTGTAAGTTGTCTTAATTATATTATAATACCTATATTTAAAAAAATATATATTAAATTAAAATAACGATTATTTTCCTTTTGTAATCTTGCAATTGCAAATAACCAAAAAGGTGGAGCAGCAGCAGCAGGAATAATTTTAATTTGAAAAATGGTTTATTAAAAAAATAAATACACATATAAAATAAATTAGTAAAATAATTCTAAATCAGTGAATCAAAGTGGTTGGCTAGGCACAACAATAACCTAATCAGCTTACCAGTCTCAAACTCAAATCAATGTTTAATAGATAAAAGATAGACTGACTGCAGCTTTCAAGAGGGTGTTCCCGAGACTCGGTTCCCATGCAATAACCAGCCAAAGATCCAATTAGAAATGGTCCAGCCATATAGTGATGGTTCCGGTAAATAGCCGTACAAAAAGTCATAAGATAGGGGGGTCCTATGACCACAAAGAAACAGTTACGATAGCTCTACAAAATTTAAAGGAACACTATATTCACCAGAACAATTCACCAGCTTATTGCATTTGTTCTGGTGAGAAGAATCATTCTGTTCAGGCCTTTTGCTGTAAACACTGTCTTTTTAGAGAAAATACAGTGTTTACATTACAGCCTAGTGATAACTCCACTGGTCATTCCTCAGATGTCTACTAGAGCTACTTCCCTGGGCAATGCTGCAGAGTAAGCAGCACTGCTATTCAGTGTCTCCACCATCTACATCAAGCATGTCAAACTCGCGGCCCACTGGCCGCACGTGGCCCACAATGAATATCATTGTGGCCCGGTGAGCTGAGAGTTTGCCGTGCTTACTAAGGCAGAGTAGGCACCTGCTCTCCCCACATTGCAGGTGGCTATTCTGCTCAAATTTACCCGGCCGTGTAGGAGAGGTCGCTGACGGCAGTGAGGGAGCTCAGTCTTTCTGCTCCTCACTGCTCCTTCGAGCATGTCCTTTGTAGTGATGCAGTGCGCGTGAGGGAGCAGCGAGGAAGAGATAGAAGATCTCCCGAAAGAAGATTCTCACTGGACCCAAGGGAGAGGCCCCACACCAGCTCCCAAAAGGTAGGGAACAATAAATGAAATTATGTGAGTGTGTGCAAGAATGTGTAAATGTTTGTGTGTGAGAGTGTGTCTGTCAGTGAGTGTGTGTCTGTTAGTGAGTATGTCTGTCAGTGAGTGTGTGTGTGTCAGTATGTGTGTGCCTATCAGTGACTGTGTGCATGTCAGTGAGTGAGTGTGTATGTCTGTCAGAGAGTGTGTGTGTGTGTCTGTCAGTGTGTGTCTCAGTCTCAGAGTGTGTTTGTGTCTGTCAGAGTGAGTGTGTGTGTCTGTCAGTAAGTGTGTCTGTTAGTGAGTGTGTGTGTCTGTCTGTCTGTCAGTGAGTGTGTGTTAGTCAGTGTTGCGATGGCGTGGTTGGACAGTGGAAGAACTGGAGGTGCATGGAGGCATGCAAGGCCACATCACAGTCCGACGTGACGTCAACGTTCTCCACCTTTACAGGGTTTTCAGGAATAGGTGGATCCGCTTTGGCACAGGGTGCAGATTGCGCCATTGGGGTTATACCAGAGGTTGTACTCTGGAGTCGCATACTGGCAGCAGCAATGTGAGTGGAGTCTGCTTGTTGGCTAATATTGTGTTTTTTGTAAACAAGGGGGTGCAGGGACTTAGTAGAGGGGGGGGACTGGGATTTAGTACAGAGGGGGAGATTCAGGATTAGTATAAAGGGAGGACTAGGATTTAGTATGGGGGGGGACTGTGGTTTAGTAGAGGGGGATGCTGTTTTTTTATACTGTGTGTTACGGCTTCCCCGGTAGGAGAGGGGTTACAGCCGTATAGGACGTAGAGGTAGCCACAGAGCGCTCCAAACTGCCGAACAGTAGCCGTACGGATCAATTAGTTTCCTAAACAGCCGAACAGCAATCACACAAATTAAGTATTCTCCCAAACAGCCGAACAGCTCCGTATTGAGGGTCAGCAGGAATCTGGTTTAATGAGGGCTTCATGCCCGGCTTTTATGCAGGTCTCCCATCTGGTGGACACTCCCCTAGGGGACCAAATGGGAGACTGTGACAAGGACATTGTAACAACCAATCACAGGGTACACACTTAGCCATTCCCCTTTTCTTACCCAGAACCCTCTGCTCTGCCTGGGGAGATACTTGTTAAGTAATTCAATTATCTCCCAGGACAGAGCCTAAACGCCATTTTAGGTGACACTAACAAAAAGACATAAAAATACATAACTGTTACGTTTTACAACATATTACAGGCATTCAACAGGTCCCCAGATAGCTAAGATCTAAGCGCACCAAAGTACCGAATAGCGCTCAGATCCTATGCACACAGTCCAATCGCCGTGGAGCCAAAGTGTTCACAAAGTCAGTTCTCATACGAATGGGCTCCACAGGATGCATATCTGGGGTATGGTGTATTCAGGTTCAAACTACTGAATCTAGGGCCGTTCGTGCACTTTCTACCGAACAAGAAGGGAGGTCGGCGGCTTCAGCGGTGTTCGTGCCAAAAATGCATCCGTTTTGAGTTCCATGAGTTGGGCGTCGAACACCGCTGTGTGTTCGCATGTTTAAAATGGCCGCGACCTCGTGTTTGGTATACGAATGGCGGCCACCCAACTACCGTATCAATTAAGAGGTGTCTGCGGTTAACCTCAACATTCTGATGGGGCCAAGAGGTTAACCAGCAGCACACTTCTCTACTGCGTGGCCGGCCGTTCGGTAGTTTTATTCGGTACATAGAAAGGGAACGGCATAGAGTCCACAGGAACGGGGAAACATGAATCAAACAAACAAATGAGAAATACGGTCATTTCAGTTCAGGACAGAGGGATCTGTCACGCTGTACTTTTCAAAATAAACCTACGGTTTTTTTTTTGCGACCCACATAAACTTAAACCTTGTTTATTTGGCCTGTGCTAGCCTATGAGTTTGACATGCTTGCTCTACATGGAGACACTGAACTTTCCTCATTGATTCAACTAATCTCTATGAGGAGATGCTGATTGGCCAGGGCTGTGTTTGCCTTGTGCTGGCTCTGCCCATAGGCGTGCGCAGCCTATTGCATTAGGGTGTGCACCCTAAAGCACAAACACACGCCGCGCGTGTGTGTGTGTGTGTGTGTGTGTGTGTGTGTGTGTGTGTGTATATATATATATATATATATATATATATACGTATATATATTCCCAGACACACACTCACACTCACAGAAACACACACACACTCACAGACACACACACTGACACACACATACTCACACACTCACACACACACACTCACACACTCACAGACACACACTGACACACACTCACAGACTCACACACACATACTCACACACTCACAGACACACACTGACACATACTCACACACTCACAGACACATACTCACACACTCACAGACACATACTCACACACTCACAGACACACACTGACACACACACACTCACACACTGACACATACACACTCACTGACACACACACTCACAGACACATACTCACACACTTACAGACACACACTCACAGACACATACTCACACACTCACACACACTGACACACACATACTCACACACTCTCAGACACATACTCACACACTCACAGACACACACACTCACAGACACACACATACTCACACACTCACAGACACACACTGACACACACACACACACTCACTGACACACACTCACACACTCACAGACACACACAAATTATTATATTTTAATTTTTTTTTTAAATGTCCACCCAGCCTCCTACCTGGAGTGCTGGTGGACTTGTCCCTGGGGTCCAGTGGGGGCGGGCGCCTCTCTGCAGCTCAGCGCGCGGCGAGGGAGCTCTCTGCTTCCTCTCGCCGCGCGGGCTGTCTGCTCTAGCTGGGAGCCGGAATATGACGTCATATTCCGGCTCCCGGCATCAGCGCGCGGCGAGAGGGAGCAGAGAGCAGAGAGCTTTCTCGCCGCGAGCTGAGCTGCAGGGTGGGGGGGGGGGAATCATCACCTCTTTCCCTCCCATGACAGTGGCAAGAGGTGAGACGGGGGACACTGAGTGCCTGCAGGAACAGCGTTCCTGCTCAAAAGAGTGCAGGAACGCTGTTCCTGCAGGACTCAAACCATAGGGGTGCGCACGGGGATTAGGGTGTGCCCAGGCACACCCGGCACACCCCGTGCGCACGCCTATGGCTCTGCCCCTGATCTGCTTCTTTGTCAGCCAATCCTATGGGGAAGCATTGTGATTGGCTCAGACCACCACTTCTGCTGATGTCAGCAGGCAGAGGCAGGCCAGGAGCAGACAAGGGCAGAGCCAGCAGCTAGAGATTTGAATACGAGTAAGATTTTACTATATTTAGGGAGGCAAAAGGGATCCAGAGGGGCTAAATGGTGGTTTTTAACCCTATAGGGTCTGTGTTCCTGACCCTATAGTGCTCCTTTAAAGTACATTTTGATCAATTTCTGGCTTGGTAAAGGCCCTATTACTGGGTCAAATCGTTGCTGCTGTAAGCACACATTAAGGGGAATTTCAAGATAATGAGGAGTGCTGGGCCATTTTTTATTTGGACATAAGAATCAATTACGCATGTTATCTCCCACACAGTCACAGCAATGGTAAACCACACAATCACAAACAAACCTACAATTTCCATCACATTCACCCTGAGATGAAAGAGGGCAGTTTAGAGCTTGGATGGGGTGTGATCTGTGTTGGGTAGACAGAGCTGACAAGATGTCATAATAGTAATATTGCGCTAGGTCGATAGAGTATAGGCAGCTTTATCAAACTTGGGTCTCATTAATATTTTTGTATAAGCGTTTCAAATTATTCAGTATTTTTGTACATACGTTCAAAATGATTTTTTTCAAAATATTAAAATATAAAAAAATATATATCATTTATATCAATATACATCAATATATCAAAACATATATTAAAATGTTTTTCTAAATATTAATTTTAAAAGTTAATCCAAAAATATTAAATCATTTCAAAAGCTTGCCCAAAAATATTCAATTAAGGCCTGGATCCTTAATAGATAGAGGAGCCAGAGATTTAATCAATGTATTTTACAAAAACGCAATGAAAAAGGCATATTTTATCACCGACAAAAGAGTCAAGGGTCACATCTTAATGTGATGGGGGGCGGGGCCTGACAGTGATGGTGACTGGACGTGCTTTTTTAGAGCTCCCTGTCACGGGTGGCGGTACGGAAACCGGGAACCCTGAGTGCCTGAAGTGGAGATGAGCAGAGTCTTCAGCGAGGTAATGCACTATCAGGGCCTGGTGCAGGGTAACCACATGCCCCCTGGTGTTGAGCACCAGCGTTTGTGCGGCCACATACCAGAGCCCTGATGCAGCTACTGCGGATCCCAGGAACTAGGAGCATGGAAATAAGCAGACCTCCCAGGAGCTGAATAGGGAGGCTCTGCAGCAGGGATGTATCCAGTACTGAAACAAGGCAAGGCTAGGATAGTCACCAAACATGAAAACAAGACAGAACTAGAAGAACCCAGAACCAGAGAAGGATAGGAAGCTAAACCCAGAACATGTACACAAGACACAAGGGAAACATGAACATAACATGAGCATGACTGGACAGGACTGTGCATGGACTGGGTATACAAAGTAAAACAAGACAAGATATAATAGGCAAAACAAGAGGAGACATAACTAAGCACTATTTTTGAAAAGTATGGGGATTTAGTTACATTATATGATCGTACATTGCATAAGCCTGCCACAACGCCAATGTACCCCATATTCGACAGGTCCTACACTGCCTAATGTTCGCTAAAAGAACCATACTAAACCACAATATAGCACTTAACTGCAAGAAAGGGCAGATACTTGAAACACTGCTGCAGGTCCAGACTGAAACAAAAGGAAATTGGCAACATAATTGTGGCAACATAAAACAAACATTTAAATGAATCCAGGAGACTGGGAATTCCAGGGATGGAATAATGGAATGAACCCAGAAAACCCAGCATAAGGAAAACCAGACATGGAATAGAAAACCAGAAAAACCAAGAAAAACTGAGCAAAAATTGTAAAAAGAGTACTGGATACCAGAAGCCAAGGCCAGACATCTCCACAGAATAGAGCAGGATGTGACACTCCCGACACATGAAACAATTTAGTCCAGTGGCCCATGCATTAAACACTGTACTTCGAGTACCTTCGAGTATCCTATATCGGTTGCCTGGCTGGGAGCTACTTCCAGTGGTCACCGGACACTGTCTGGACAGAGATCTTTGCTGACTGGACAGAGTGCGGGCCTAGTGGGCGCTGTGGTAGGAAAAAGCGGACGATCTCCTGGCTTGACACGTGCAGGCTCTAAGCACCATGGAGCCGATGCCCCGGGTCTAAGCACCATGGAGCTGAAGGACCTTTTGGACCAGCGGGGTGATCCTGGTCACCACCCTAGGGGTCCCTACACTTCACAGAGGACATGTGGCACTGCTGTGACACACGACGAATCCAAAAGTGGCACACTCAAGATGGCTGAGGCCAAATGTCTCCTGATATACCAGGGAGAAAGGTCCCAAGCTGAAGCCAAGCTGGATACCCTCTTTGAGGCCTTCTGGTGGAAGTTGATGAAGAAGCTGATCCTACCTGCTCCTGTGGTTGGTGTTGCAACTTCTGGCACGTCCCAACGAGTCCCATGCAGTTCCAAAAGCTTCCTCATTAGTCCAGCGTGCCAAAGGTGGCAGAGGCCACGTTGGATGGTCTTCAGGAAGGCAGCGTGCAAAGGTGCACCATCGCTGACTGCCCCCGGGGCAGCTTAGCGGAACACACGGAAGCATGGTGTGCAGAGAGTGGAGCAGCTGCTTACACAGGACCCCGGTTGAAACCTCTAGAATCAGGCCTGCATCAAAACACTATGTGGGACTGTGGGATATCGACAATGGGGATAGGCTAACTGCCAAGATGAGCCTCGTGCTTCATATACCATTCTTAACATTGCATGCTTACATTATCTCTCAGGTTTATTTAGTCTAGATCCCAAGCTTGAAGTTTTTAGTTTTGTTTAATATCCCACAATAGCAAACCCCAGATATATAAGCATTCATTTCTTTTCCAATCTATCCTACAGGGAGTGCAGAATTATTAGGCAAATGAGTATTTTGACCACATCATCCTCTTTATGCATGTTGTCTTACTCCAAGCTGTATAGGCTCGAAAGCCTACTACCAATTAAGCATATTAGGTGATGTGCATCTCTGTAATGAGAAGGGGTGTGGTCTAATGACATCAACACCCTATATCAGGTGTGCATAATTATTAGGCAACTTCCTTTCCTTTGGCAAAATGGGTCAAAAGAAGGACTTGACAGGCTCAGAAAAGTCAAAAATAGTGAGATATCTTGCAGAGGGATGCAGCACTCTTAAAATTGCAAAGCTTCTGAAGCGTGATCATCGAACAATCAAGCATTTCATTCAAAATAGTCAACAGGGTCGCAAGAAGCGTGTGGAAAAACCAAGGCGCAAAATAACTGCCCATGAACTGAGAAAAGTCAAGCGTGCAGCTGCCACGATGCCACTTGCCACCAGTTTGGCCATATTTCAGAGCTGCAACATCACTGGAGTGCCCAAAAGCACAAGGTGTGCAATACTCAGAGACATGGCCAAGGTAAGAAAGGCTGAAAGACGACCACCACTGAACAAGACACACAAGCTGAAACGTCAAGACTGGGCCAAGAAATATCTCAAGACTGATTTTTCTAAGGTTTTATGGACTGATGAAATGAGAGTGAGTCTTGATGGGCCAGATGGATGGGCCCGTGGCTGGATTGGTAAAGGGCAGAGAGCTCCAGTCCGACTCAGACGCCAGCAAGGTGGAGGTGGAGTACTGGTTTGGGCTGGTATCATCAAAGATGAGCTTGTGGGGCCTTTTCGGGTTGAGGATGGAGTCAAGCTCAACTCCCAGTCCTACTGCCAGTTCCTGGAAGACACCTTCTTCAAGCAGTGGTACAGGAAGAAGTCTGCATCCTTCAAGAAAAACATGATTTTCATGCAGGACAATGCTCCATCACACGCGTCCAAGTACTCCACAGCGTGGCTGGCAAGAAAGGGTATAAAAGAAGAAAATCTAATGACATGGCCTCCTTGTTCACCTGATCTGAACCCCATTGAGAACCTGTGGTCCATCATCAAATGTGAGATTTACAAGGAGGGAAAACAGTACACCTCTCTGAACAGTGTCTGGGAGGCTGTGGTTGCTGCTGCACGCAATGTTGATGGTGAACAGATCAAAACACTGACAGAATCCATGGATGGCAGGCTTTTGAGTGTCCTTGCAAAGAAAGGTGGCTATATTGGTCACTGATTTGTTTTTGTTTTGTTTTTGAATGTCAGAAATGTATATTTGTGAATGTTGAGATGTTATATTGGTTTCACTGGTAATAATAAATAATTGAAATGGGTATATATTTGTTTTTTGTTAAGTTGCCTAATAATTATGCACAGTAATAGTCACCTGCACACACAGATATCCCCCTAACATAGCTATAACTAAAAACAAACTAAAAACTACTTCCAAAAATATTCAGCTTTGATATTAATGAGTTTTTTGGGTTCATTGAGAACATGGTTGTTGTTCAATAATAAAATTAATCCTCAAAAATACAACTTGCCTAATAATTCTGCACTCCCTGTATTATGCACCTTGGGCCTTATGGGGTGGTATACTCTGCTGCCTTACAATGTCTACTATGTCCATTCATGCCTGATAATTCTCTAGTAAACCATTGTTGAGCTTAGACATGTAGCATAGCATCATCACATAATATTATCAAATTGGGCAGCATTTTCGTATGTCACGTAATTGTGTAACTATGTTGTTTGCCATACTTGTTACTGCTGTCGTGGCATGGCAAGTTTACTTGTAATTTTCTCCCTGTGCACAACAAAAATTAAAAATATTAAAAAAAAAAAATGTACATTTTTTTTAATGTGACTGCCACCACTAATGACTAGATTTCTAAATAATTGGTGAAGGCACAAGCGCACCTAAGTGGGAATTTTTTTGGACCCCCCTCGAACTGTAGATTTTTTTTTTGTGTCTCACTCTGGAAATTGCATTTAAATACTCACATTCATAAACACATTCTTATTCTCACACACACATTGATATACACACAGACTCACATAATCATACACAAACACACACATGGACACATTTACATACACAGACTCATACACAAACACACACATGGACACATTTACACACACAGACTCATACACAAACACACACATGGACACATTTACATACACAGACTCATACACAAACACACATGTGGACACATTTACACACACAGACTCATACACAAACACACACATGGACACATTAACATTTACATACACAGACTCATACACAAACATACACATGGACACATTTACACACACACAGACTCATACACAAACACACACATGGACACATTTACACACACAGACTCATACACAAACACACACATGGACACATTTACACACACAGACTCGTACACAAACACACACGGACACATTTACACACACAGACTCATACACAAACACACACATGGACACATTTACACACACAGACTCATACATAAACACACACATGGACACATTTACACACACAGACTCATACACACACATGGATATATTTACACATATACACACACAGACTCACACATGCTGCCTGCTACCTGGGGCACCCCACCCCACCCCGGGTTAGTATGCTTCTGGGTGTAAGAATTAACACTACTTTTGATAAATTGGTAGAGGAGTGCAGCTAGTACTTATAAAAGCAAAACTAATGCAAGATAGGTGATAGCCTTTCAGGGTTAGAAATAAAATGTCAACACTACGGTTTAATTTGCCAATTATAAAATAAATAATAAAAATAAAGAGAAATAGAAATAGAAAAAAAAAAGAGCATGTAATATAAAATGTTTCTAAATAACATGGAAACAGACCAGATAAATATCTTTGCAATTTGATTTTGATACAAAAGAAGAAATAACAATTGGTATAGATAGGAGAAACAAAAGCAGAACCCATGGAGTGAAAGGATGTGAAGTAAACGGAAGATTAAAAACAGGAGGAAGAAGGATAGCAGATAGCCATTGAAATATGGAGCAGATTCTCACCTCTACCGTTGTATACGTGGGAGTATGCAAAGGTTTCATGATGCCATTCTCCTTTTCCTCAATGTGACAAGCTATTTTATAGCTACCGTGCATCGGGTATACATTGAGTACTGCTTGCTGGAATATAATAAATCACTTTCACCCACTCTGCTTTATTTAAATACACAATGAGATTGTATGTATAACCCTGAGATGTTTAATGGAATAAAGAATCGGTCTTAAGCGCAGTCAGGAGAGGCTGAGGTCACTTTCCATCTGTGTATCTTTGTATCGAAAGAGGTTAACAGGTTATTTTTTTTTATTTTTTTTTATTCATGTTTAATGAACAATGAACAAGTCAATGAACGCCCCCACAACTAATGCGAAATAAAGGCACGCAGGAGAGAAACCCACTTATAGGACTAAAGATCTCAAATCATTTTGTAAACCATGCATTTTGAACACAGCCTACTCCCCCCAAAAAATAAAAAATTCATTTTACGATATATCCTATTTTTTCTCTTCTTCCGAATAAGGAAGCAAAGCTTGACATGCAGTTAATGTGTATTTGTTATTGTTGAATGTATTCTAGAATATATGCCAGTCATTTTTGCCAAGAGATTTGTACTTATGGATAATGAACTGTAGCCTGGGATACACCGCTATCAGGTTGTATTTATCTGTAATTAAATATAATATCCGTCAGAAAACCCACATTTTCCTAGTGAGAGTCTGAACGTGGAAGTTAGGGAATGTGCCTGAACAATTTATAGCTTTCGGTTTTATAATTTTTCTAGACAGAGCACTTCTGACGATGCTGATTAAAAATTCAGTTGTATCACTCTAGAGGCCAGATGTTCTCATTATTTTCATACAATTGGAATGGAAGACTCATACTACTTACTAAAATTAGTAACTGTCTATGAATAGGAAGAAGGAGCGCTAGGAAACCAATGAATAGATGCCCTGTTGAAAGAAAGTAAAGTTTCGGTCAGCCTTTAACCATCAGTCATCTCCTGGATATACTTGCAGAACTGGAAAGCCAAGGACAACTAAGAACACCATTAAGGAATACAAGGTTCTTGTGGTATCCTACATAGACCTCCTTGTTGTACAGTCATTCACACTCGAGACTACAACACTGACATGACTCGGTAAATTAAGTTCCAGGAGCCAAAGATGGTCTAAAGGAAGAAGATGGAGGTAGCTGTGAAGGACATCTTCAGGCTAATAAAGCTACCTTTCAATGCACACCACTGCCACCGGACCCTAACCAGAGATATTACCTTCCTGGATCTTTGCTTTACGTCTCAAAATATATGCCTTCTGACTAGTGAATTCTAATGTGTGAATTTCTGACAGGGCTGTAAACATTGGATAGGTAGGGACAGATAGGGAAAATGAGGGCATGGATACAAAGATTATAGGTGGGGAAAAGTGAACATGAATGGGGCAGTGTATTTGGTAGAAAATAGTAAATGGGAATAGGGGCAGCAAACAGGAGAGGGAACCAGTAGATGGAAATCGGAACAGTTAA